CATTTAACCCACTGTTGCTGATTAGATTGAAGATTCTTTATTTGTCACATACATACTTATACAAGTACAACAGTGAAATGTATCCTGACTCCCCGACTGTGCAAAAGGGGAGAGAAGAACATTATACACATTAAGTGAGTTTGCCTTTTATGAATGTTTCTCATGTTTTGAGCCTCTGAGCACACAAAGTAACATTTTCTATGACTTAACATCTGTACCAGGTGTTTTCCACTGAGGAGTATCCTCCATCTATGAGCTAGTGTTCAAAAACGTTTTACTTTCAAAGAATTCATAGCTGATAAACGTGAAACTGTTGTTGAAGTACGGATGACTGCAATCTAAGACACAGCTCATATATCAACACGGGTCATAACTGATTGCTGAAATTTGATCTCATAGAAGATTTTGATTGGCTGGTCTGGATGAACACTGAGCTGCCAACTGTGATGCAGATCAGGAGGAAAATATTTAACCTCTGTAACTGGCTGAGTGTTGAGTGTTTGATCCGAAGAATAAGGTCCAAATGCACTTCCAGCTTCAAACCATTGTTGGGTTCAATGTTTGAGGCGGAGACAGGAAACGAATCAGAAGACGTTCCCCAATCGCTGAAACAGATTTCTGCTCTCTGTGCTGGACTTTTTTTTTTGAAGAAAGAAAATGAACAATAGGGAAGTTTCCTCTAATTCAAAGCCAGAACGACCCAAAGAGACACGACAGTTATTGCTCTGCAGCATGGCTGCATTTCTTTACCACCCACTGTTATATCATCGCTGTGTAACAAATACCTTTGTTCCTCATAACTGTCAGACAAACACTGGCAGGAGTTGTGTTTAACAGACTGAAGGCAGATCACTCTCTGCTCAGGTCAACTCACATTACAGAACTTTAACTGGGCGTCATAAAAATATGAGAAGGCGATAACAGCGGAGACCGAGGTCATCAAAGTCCAAGAAGCTCACCTGACTTGTTACAGAACAGTCGCTGTGGCAACAGACGTGATTGTAGTGCTGCACTGTGCTTACATTAGCCTGCAGCGTCTCTGCTTATACAACAAACCTGTTTTAATTAGGATCCTGGGACCCGCAGGCAGGAAGTCTTTAATAATGATGTGAAAGTTCTTCACTATAGCTCCATTGTTGTCCTACATTCAGCACAAATGCTGCCCTTGCTGCATATTTTGGACACGGCGTGATTTCTTCTCCTTTTGCTTTAGTTTCCTGTCACGCTGGTGTGAGGAAAGCTGGGCGTGCTCAGATGTTAAAACCTTTTCTTTAAATGTGAGATTGCTTCATACAACAAATTTGTTGTTTTATCTCATTTTCAAGTTTGTTGAGGCCTCTGAGTGTAAGACGACCTGCAGGACAGCGACAAGCAGCCACATGCAGTAACACCTCAGCTTTGTAACACCTCACAGACCTCGCCGCTGCTTCTTGTTCCATAACGTTTTCTCCTGTAACCTCATAATGAATCTGTCTGTGTGATGGTGAGGAGGAAGGAAATGTTTGGTTAGCAGAATCTTTTTTGTGTTTGACCAAAGAGATGTTTGAGGTGAAAGGTCAGGGTCAACCCATTGGCCAGCAGGCGTCTCTTTCATCTTCTCAGGAGGTTTTATTTAATCGTGTCTTCCAGGCATCCTCCTCGCTATGACCTCGATCGGCCCGGCCTTCGGATTCATCACTGGCGCCCTCATGCTACGCTTCTATGTTGACTTTGACAAAGTACCCAAAGGTGAGGAGACACACTGTCCTAATGCTACACAGCTGTTTAAAGAAACTTCATCTTACTCATTTTTAAAAGGAAAGGAGGACTTCCTGCATGTGAGCACTCAACATGGTGTAAAGCTGAGTAATGTGGGTCATTTCCTCTAAAATCTTCTAAAAAAGATAAAAACCCATAAAATAAATCATATTTAAATGATGCAGTTTGGCAAACAGTGGCTGAGGTCGTCACTGGTGGTGTGAAGTTGTTTAAGACCGCCATGTTCTCGTGACCATCAAGGCGCAGACAGGTTTTGTAACAGACACACACCCTAATGACCTCTTTTTGTGTTTGTGCTAACTGGAAATGCTGCAGCAGCGCTCAGTCCTCGGGCTGTTTATGCTGCGCCAACACGTTCTAGTTTATCCTGTTTTACTCATGAGAACACAATGCTGAAGCAAAGAATGATATTTAAAGATTAATATTCGTGTTCAACACACCAGATGTTTGCACACTTTATGCAGTTGCTGCTGTGGAGGAACTGAACCAGACTCTGCTGCAGGCATTGGACCAATACATGGTTATGTTTTTAACTTATATAACAAAGCATCACTACTGTCAATATTTGGTGTAAATAAAAGAAATGAACTGAACTCAAAACTGAACTGAATGAGCATTTCTCATGTTTTGGCTGATTTCCTGCTGCCTCTTCTTTCTTCTCACTCAGACGTAATTGCAGGTGTAAGCTGGTATTTTGTAGCTAAAGTAGTCGATTATTTGCTGTTGATGTTATGTTGAAAGTTTCAGCCTCAGGGCAGATATCCAGATTAGAAATATGTTCAGACAAGGATCTGAGGTGTTTTCAGTGAAACTATTATATTTATTTCATTAAATACTCCACAGTCAGCTCTTTGAACTGGTCACACGGTTCACTGATAAGAAACTAATTATCAGTCACCGGCCCCACTCCTGCTAACCAATGGTGTTTTACTTGCATCTGTTTGAAAGAGTGAGTGTAAACACATTATTTTATTTTATGAGCTAGAATATGCAGAAAATAGTTTTAAATGTTAAAAACATTTCTTCAAGTCAAAGACTGTCATATATGATTTAATTTTTGCTTGATGCATAAAGTTAAAAGATTAAAACTCATAAAACAAGTTTTAAAAACAAACATTTTCATTTGATTCAGTTTTCTATGATGGATTATGCAGAAACAATAAAATTTAATAGCTTTAATACATATTCAGGTTGCGTATCATGTTTTTAAAAAGTAACTAAGTAACAAAGCAACTAATTATTAGAAACAGGATTACTTTATGTTTGTGACCTTGCATTTCTGAGCTTCTTGCTTTAACGTGTGACCATAACCTTACGTGGCTAACTGGTGATGTGCTGGATGCTAAGAAGCTAACTCCCACCGTTTCTGGGATCAATAGTTCTGCTACGTCTGCTCATGTTTCAGGTTTCGTTTCTGATCTAAGTTGAGTGAGAGTTTCGTGACATTCGATCAGGCATTGCAGTCGTTTGACGTCTGCATGATTAATGATGCTACAGTTTCTTTACAGACTTGTTGAAACGAGGAACTAGCTTGTTTCAACTTTCCCAGTGGAATGCGTACACGGGCCAACAGATTGTGAGTGTGAATGTGCCGTCACACAACATGTTTAACAATTTGCATGTTTAGAAAAAATGTAAAATATTGCATCAATTCTGTGTTTGTAAGTAAAAACGTACCGAGGAGGATGTGTGCGAGTGTGTAAATCTTATTCTGTGGGGACTCTGAGCAGGATGGGACGTGGAAAATTTAGGACGCTTTTCTTTTGCTTCATGAATGTTTGAGGTTTAATTTGTGGTGCTAAGGTTGGAGAGTTATGTTTAAGTTTAATTTCCTTGAAAAAAAAAAAAACAGCACACACACAAGTTGAAGCTGTGACCTCATAATCTGTACGCCAGCTTGGTCCCCACATCTATAGATGTACAAACACGTGTGTATGAGGAGCTTTGTGTATTATTGACACACTTAAATTAGAGTTAGACGTTGGTGGTTTGATTTGTAACACAGTTGGCATGTAGGTTTATCGGCTTTCACTGAGCCTTCAGGCAACTTAGCGCTGAGTAAATATGATCAGAGGAGAGTTTAAGGACAAATATGTTCAATGAAACAATATTAAAGAAACATTTACTGCACACACTACAAATTGTCCCTGTTTCTATAAAGTTTTGTCAATAAAACACCAAAATCACCAATTATAGATTTTAACCAGCAGTCATGTGCTTCATTAACTATTTTTATCAGCTTGAAAGCTCAACTTTAAATGCGTTTCGGCAGTTTTGATGATCCATTCCTGCTTTTTCTTTCACTCATTTAGGATCACAGGAGATGTAATAAATAGATATGAAATTAAGGAACCAACAGATTTTTCTGATAACTAAAGTATTTTAAGTGTTAATGTTGATCCATCCTTTCTTCTTTAGTTTTACAAAGAGTCAGCTACTCTGAAATATCTGGGAAGGTTTTCCAATAACAGCTGGATTGATAGTGAGGACAGTAATTGGACGATAGATTTGGAAACAAAAACATTTGTCTTTGTTTTTCTACAATTAATGGATTTTATTTTGGAATTCTTCTCTTGGTTGCTGTTGCATAAGAGCTGTCACACTCACCTTATTTGAAACCTTCACCACTGGAACCAGTGCTAATGTCAGAGAAAAAGCAGAGCAGTCTTAACGTGACAGTAACTGCACACTGAGCAGTGTAATGAGGTTAATATAGTAAACAGGTAAAGCGGGTTAAGGTGTCCATTGCAGGACCAAGAGAGTTACTCATTCCTTCAGTAATTACAGCCTTGCAAAAGTTCCCACGGAGTCTTTCAATGATCAGGGATTAGCCTTCATTGTTTGGCGATTCAAACATGAATGTCACTAAAATCTGCAGAGGTTCTTCATCATCATGGGTGCAGCCACAAACAGATGTTCTTGCTTTTTGATGATGAGCAGTACCGTTTTCATTGGTGTCCCTCGATAAGCAAAGCCATAATTGGTTTAATAAATCAAAGAAAACAAGTTTTTAGATGGGCAGTGACGTTTGTTTCAGATTGGCAGCATGTCATTGGTGCACAGTTAAATGAGTGGAAAGTTGTGTTTACAGACTACAGGTTGTGTCTTGATATCTATAAATTTTAGGATGTAGACACAATTACAGTCCAGTTTTTTTCTTTAGTGTTTCAGTTTTATTC